AGAAATTGCCTCGGGTTGCAACCAAATTTGGGCGGAGGGCGGAATGGATTAACCGTATTTACATTGAACCTTATGGGGAAATTTGCCTCGGGTTGCAACCAAATTTGGGCGGAGGGCGGAATGGATTAACCGTATTTACATTGAACCTTATGGGGAAATTTGCCTCGGGTTGCAACCAACTCGGGATACGCCCAGAGTCACGGAACGGATTAAGTTCGTATCCCGAGGTACCACTGTACTAGATAATTTTCCTCTTTGACTGGTAACATCAAGATATTTTCCTCATCCTATTGTAATGTAAAAATTCTGTATAGAAACAAATGTTTACAGTTAGATACCAGGAACTTTCTATGCTTAAAATTTAAAACTTCAATTTAAAAAACAAACATCAGGAAGTAGACATGGGAAAAGACACTTCTCTGTCTGAAGTTCTGGAAAAACCCTGGCCATCAAAAATAGCAAAAACTGAGCTAGACGGATCTGACAACTAAGTTCATAATGTTCCTCAACGATGGATTGTTCAACCATATTTTCTTGAATAAATCATAACTGGATAGGTGTACACAAAATATGAAGTTGTAGCTTATGACCTCAATGATTGATTTATATACACTAAGTAAAGCTTATTAAGACCTGGCATTTCTTACTATTGCTGAGATAGAAGAATGCAAAAGGTTAAAAATAAAGAGAAGTCTTCCAAAATATGTTTTCATTAATACATTAAAAGATTAGGCCAGCCAACTGGCCGGCCTTCCCTGCCTCCCCTCCCCTCCCTCCTCCCCTCCCTTCCTTCCCCCTTCCCTTTCCTTCCCTCCCTCCCTTGCTCTCTTTGAAGTTAAACAAAGGATAGGGAAGAATACATGTTCAACATAAGCCACCATATTAAAAACAGGTCACATTTTTTTTTCAGTTCCAATAAGAGAGTTGAGTTACACTTCAGTGCAGTTACAAAATGATCCTGATGAACGTCCAACTTCTAAACCATCTATTATGTTGCTGCAATAAAATGTGCATCACAAAGTCATTTGTGGATTTTTCCCTAGGGCAGCGTCAAGCCAGTCCAAACAGCATTTTGTTACATGAGTGAAACTATTTTAATGCCCAAGTTTCAGCCTGTGCCACAACACACCTGTTAACCTTACCCAGGCATTCGGTTTCATTTCTTTATAATTTTATGGGACTATGTGGCCTAATCATTAGCAAACATCACTTTTATGGAGCAATGCAAATAACAGCACATCATGCTTATAACTGTAATCTGGCTACCCATATGGTGTTCCGATGCATGGGAGCTTAGTCGAAACAGCACATTTGGGATCCTTTATCTACGAAGGGCCCATTACTGGTGCCAAGCACTCACAAATATGTTTTTCACTGAAGCATCCGACCTATGCAATCACTAGAAAGATAGATTTCTATTTTGATTTTATGCTCTGCACAGTGAATATTTGGGAGGGAGGAGTTCCCTTGTTTGCTGTGGGACCAATCCACATTATAGGCTAATGCCATGTTGAAATCTGTCTAACAGCTCCCCCCAAATTTTCTTCTCTTGTGAAAGAGGTTTTTCTTTTTCTATTGCATTCTTGTGATGGCTTCAACTCTCTTTATGTCAGGCTTCACCCAGACTTGTATTTGATCTTGAAGGCCACCAGAGACACAACTTTTTGATAGGCTAGTTTTATGACAGATATTAGAAAACTGTAGGTAAAGTAGAAAACCAGCAGAAGAATCAACCAGCTATAAAATTCAAGCCAAGAATACATGTCCCCATGTTCAGACTTGATGACTTTGCCCCGCTTGTATGCTCCAAAAGACATTGCTGGTCATTTCTCAATAGGAGGTGCAGTTGACTTCTATGCCTTGCGCTTGTAGTGGACCTGTCTGATCTCAGGACTTTGGGCCTGACCTTGGTCCTCCTGGCCCTCATACATTCAGTCATTTACAGCAGTGCTTCTGAATGTACATTATCATTGAAGATGGCAGTGTCCTGTTGTTTTTCTGTTAAGACAATCTACCACCATTCTGCTCTCTCCATGGCTGCCCACAATTCCCCAAAAATCCCACTGGAAGAGTTTTCTCATGACCTGTTCCCTTGGGATTAAACCAAAGCAGAGAAAGCCAGGAAGGCTTCAGATGGCTGAAGAAGTGATCTAATGCTGAATGACAGGACACATACTACACCTTGGCTGCCTAGCAATTAAGGTAAGTTCAGGAATCCGTGGGAACTTCATTAAGGTTTTCTTTTACCTTATCAAAAGTATTTTTATCTATCAAATGGAAGGAGACTGGTTTAAAAAATGCTAATGAAAACTTCAACATTGCCTACTTTCATACAATGCAAGCCAGCAAGGGACATTTGTGGTCCTCCAGATTTTGCTGAAGCACAATTCCAAGCATTCTCCCCTATTGGCCTTGGTAAGAGTTGCAGGAATTGCACTTTAGCAATGTATGAAGAACCCCCAGAATTCCCAGTCATGTTCCAGAGTATCTACCTACCAATATGATGTGTTTCCTTTCTTTTTAAGGAAAAATTATATTTAATATAGTTTTTATATTTGTTCTTACAGAAAGGGAAAAAAGGGCTCTGCCAGTGAACTGAAAGTTAAAACTCTGCAGTCTTCAAACTTCTTTGTTCCTGCACACCCACCTTCCTCATCTAGGATACCCTTCAATTCCCAGAATTCTCAGCAGCAGCTGTAGCAGCTGAGGAATTCTGGAAATCGAAGTGCAGACATCTGAAGGAGGCCCAGATCAGAGAAGGCCATACTGTACAGAATTCAGTTCCAGAATATTGTAATTGTCCAATAATATCCTCCCCTTAGAAATGCCTCTTTAATACCTTCCATTAGAGTACATGGTCCTGTTATTTAATTATTACTGATATGGATAAACCAGGCTGAATGGCTAGTGGAGATTCCTAGGACAACATAAAATGTGTTACTTCTTTTTCTAAAATTAGAATAGACGTTAAAAAGCAAGAGCAAATAACTGCAAAAGTAAAATTCCAATCAACCTAAACTCACAGCATGAGAAGTGAGCAACATTTCAGCCCGTGGAAAAATAACAAAATACTTTTCATTAGCTCTAAAGGAAAAAGCCACAGGTGGCTGCTGATATTCATTTTCCAGTTGCCACTTCAGTTCAATTCAATGTATTTATTTTGCTGTAAGATCAGATTATACCAGAAGCAGAATCCAATTTTGAAAAGTATATATATATACTTTTTGAATATACAACATATTCATATTCTCTCTCTCTCACACACACACACACATACATACTTGTCACAGACATGGAGGGGCATTGATATTTTAGATGAACTTATTGCCAACCACCTTTTTAAACTATTTGAATTAATGCAAGAGGAATTTTGGTTGGAAAATGGTGATATATTAAATTAAAACATCACTTGATTGTACAGGTCCTATAGCAGCTTCATCCATATATTAAAAGTGTACGGGACCTCCTCTCTTGAACACAACACAACTTCCTGATAAAGTGTGCAGCATCTTACCTCCAAAGTACTGTGTTTTTCTTCTGTCTCTTCCATGCTTTCATATGATTCCCTCGGATTTTAAATTATATCAGCAGAATGTCAAGGTGGCGGCTCCTGTTTGATTAATTAGGCTTTTTAATTACTTTTTTTAAAAAAAGAAACACACCCCCAAAGACGTTCCCACCACAAATTTGAGGTTTAAACCAGGAAAACCAGAATGGCATTCACACAGAAAGGGAAGCTAGCATTCCAGAGAATCCTGGTTTACTTGGAATAAGCTCCATGAAGAAACATGGGGCATGCTTGCTCCAGCTTGGTTCCTCCCACCATCAGGAGCAACTAAATTAACCATGAGTTATCTTTTCAACCAAACTGGGTATCCGTCTTGTTGCTCCTAAAAACATATGTAAACCAAAAAATAAACTCTGATTTCTGGGTTTTGCTTGTAAGGATGCAACATCCCTGTTATCTTCATGGGAGAAGCCAAGCAGGAATTTCCACAATGGGAACAGCCAAGAATTTTCATTCATGGGAGAGGCCAAATAGGAACCAGTGAGTACAGTACAGTAGCTGATTCCTGTGAAGTTAGAATTTGTTTGGCTTACAATTCTTTATCCCCATCACTCACTTTAAATCATAATTATGGCATAAAATTGAACACCATTTTTCATTTTAAGAAAATAACAGATACTTTAGTCTTGGTTTTTAACAGCATTTTTCCTATGACTTGGGACAGGAAGAATCCTGACTGGGGATTGTTTGGGGAGTACAGTAGGACCAAGCTTAAAATTTTCCTGTTTCCCAAAATGAAGTGTCAATCTGGGCCTGGCCCTTGCATCAGCTATTTAAGTACTTATTGACTTTTACAAATATCTTAGAACTGCCAGTATCAAACCTGGACCTCAGTATTACAACATCCAGGTTAATAAGTCATTTTTTGTAGAAAACATCTAAATTCTTGAGATGTAGCTAGGATGGATCTAATTCTGCAGCAAAGAGAATTTCTTTGGAAGCTCACCATGAAAGTCTGTCACTTCATTCTGGAACAATCCCAAAAGGGATGCAGTTTTAAAATAATAACTGCCTATATTCCCAGACGCTACCTTATTAATTCTTAGGTTCCTGGTTAGGACTTGAATTATTAGGCTCCCACCAATCTCAGAGTGTGAATTTAATTGTAGAATAATAATAATAATAATAATAATAATAATAATAATAATAATAATAATATTTTAATAAACTTGCATGCTGCCCGACTCTCAACAACTCTGGGCAGCTCACGACAAACAAAGAAATTACAATAAAATAAAAAAATATATAAAAATATAAGGCAGCAGCAACTTCAAAAATCTTGTCCTCCAGTTCCATTCTATGGTGACTTCCATTGACCCCAATTAACATGCCCACTGGCTACAGCATCTGGAGAAGCTGCCCCCAGAACAACTGGAGGGCAACAAGCAAGAAGAAAAGCTGATAGAAACTTTTGATGATTAAATTTCAAATGAATCGTTCCACAGATAACAGCTTTAATACTGCAGTAATGCTGTTCTACTTCATATCAGCTCATATTGCCACCATAAGATCCAATTTTATACCTCATTGTCTCCCTTAAGGATCTGGCAATATTTAAGTTCTTGCTTTCTGAACATGGGACTTTCCTTTCTGAACTCTTATGGCCATAGGCCCATATAGATCTTCTATAGATTCATCAACTCCTTATGAAGCAACTGTCTACAATGGCAATCTTTAAGCTATTGATCCCATAGGCTATTTTGCATTGGGCAAAACAATAAGTAGTTATTGGTTTACACCTGCACCTTAATGTCATATAGAGTGTGACATGTATTTTTAAAAATGTAATTGGAAGCTGTTATTCCCCCGCTGCTAAGAAGGGAGGAAAAGTCATGTAAGAAAGATAGCCAAAGATCACTGGAATTTCTTCTAGTTCTCAAGGCCAACAGAACAAAAGACTAAAAAGAAAAAAATCCTTTATCTGCAACCTGGAAAGTCAACTGGTGGTTACAGACTATACCTGACTCCCACACAAAATCCACTTCACCCTCCCACAGAAAACATTACCATACTTTTATTTTAGACATGACTAAAAAGCAATAGGGGTGGTGGTGGGGTGTAATGTTTTCAAGCTTCAAGAAACCAAATGATTCCCTATAGCCTATCATCTGTTATTTTTTATGCACGTCTGTATAAATGCATAGTTTTTGCAGAAAAAACGACAACACTTTAGTTGTCATGGCTTATTCCCCCCTCAAAAAAAGGGGAAAAAAATTAAGAGCAAAACATCCCCATAGACCTCCAGGCCATGATTTGAAGAAAAGGTGGGTAGAGTACACAAATTGGCCACCTTCTACTTTTTCTCAGACTGTTTTCCCAGGACGGTAAAGCTGATGAATGTTTTCTCCAACAAGTACAAAATGCTTCGTCTTCATCACTGTGTTCCTGCTTGCTTAAAATAGACTGGAGGTAGCCTTGCACAAGATTGCCACCATTGCTTTAATGGGACTTCTCCCAAACATCTCCATGGGCCATTTTCCCACTAAAATAAAAAGGGAGGGGGTCAGCCTTACCTGAGTTTCTTAGCTGCATGAATCTATGTGTCAGTTATTGTTCATGGCTGCCCAGATACTTGCAACCTCATTGCTTTTTCCTTATGTTTATCATGGTTGCCTTGTTTACACCGGCACTTTTTGCACAGGGAGTTATCAGCTGGGGAAAAAGTCACAGCTGAGGGATTCATACACAATGTGCGCAGCACTCCAAAGATTCTTGCCAGTTCCAGTTATAGGCAACCCAGTTTGCAACAGCTAATACCAGCAGTATCTGATCATCAATGTAGAAGATATAGGAAAACCAAGACGAAAAACTTTTAAGTAATTAACTGGGTGCAGTGAAATAGCAGAAGCTCTACGTGTTTCCTGAGATTAAAATCAGCAGGGTTGGCCATAAGCAAAATAAAGACCAGCTTTCCTTCTGCCGATAATAAAATAAGTTTCTGCCAAACCGGATGAACCTAAACTGGCTTCTTTTCTAGCTACACAAGATACACTGACCCCACTCTTAAATTTTGCAAGATTCAGAGTTTCCCTACCAAGGCAAGATTGCCTCCCAACCCCTAAATAGGAAGGGGAAAAATTATGGCTTGTGCAACTGTAATACAACTCTTCTGCCTTTATAATCCATGATTGCTGAAAATACTGTGGTTACTTGCCTCTGTTCTACTTCATACACAAATACTGTATACTGTTGGCCTTTTAAGGATTTATGTTTCATAAATTTAAAAAGAAAAAGAAAACAAACTCCTTTTTTATTTACAACCAGACTTATGTTTTTTATAATCTTCATGGGCATATTCTGCCACCTGGTAGGAAAAGGGGCACATTTTAATTCCAATACCATATAACTTGTAAACATTCTGTACAGTTTTTCAAATCATAATATATAATTCAGGTACTTCATCTGAGTGTATGTGTGTTGCCTTCAGCACCTTAAACCAAACAACTTGCATAGCCAAGAAAGTTGTAAAAACATGTAAAAAAAAATGATAGAGTTAATCAAACAAGCTTGAATTCTGAAGAGACCTTCTGATCTCCTAAAATGTGTTTCATAATAGGCTACAAGAACCAAAACTTGAGCTACTAGGATGTGCAACAAGAGGTGTAGAAAATGGTAAACTCTCCTCAAGGAAAACTAGCCAATCTAAGTGACTGATAATTTAAAAGGAAGAAAGGTATATCTGCACTTCTATACCCCTAAGCCACAGGAAGGTATCACATCAAACAGTATAGTTCACTGCCATCACATACATTGATGGCCACCAATTTAGACCATTTCAAAAGAGATGTGGACAAATTCATGGAAGATTGGGATTAATTCTGTTGAATGTTTAGTATCTCCTGAGTCATAGGCACCTGATCTTAAACACCAGCAGTGGAACAGATTATCATCCTTCTGTTGATGCTTGTGAGTTTCCTCTGAATGTTTCTAGTTGGCCACTAGGGTTGACAAAGAATGCTGGACTTGGTGGCCTTGGGCTCTTACATTCTTATGTACTAAAGTTATCTTATTTCTCTTTTGTCCCAAAAGACAGAAAACCCTAAGGCTGTTTGTGTTTTCCCCCTGGCATCTGTCTTAAATGAACGTTTGTGCCATTCATACTGAAGGAAAATTATTTAAGTTAACAGGCAATATTTCCCATGCAATATCAGATGAACTGAAAATGGGCATGCATATATTTGTAACAGACTACTGATGAAAGCATGCCTCCCTGCCAAGGGTGGATTTTAGAACATTCCAGAGCACGATTAGTGAATTATAAATAGGAGCTCTTGACAGATAACCATGGAAAGTACCCAAACAAAGCCATTAATTTTATTCAAAAGTCAAATCAAGGTGAAGTTTCTCATTCACAGTTTTTTAAAAAGCGACTTTTAATAAATCTTTTCTAGAAACAAGACTTTAAATAAGTTTGAATATTAAGACTTACTTTGCTGGCACATGAACTGAAAGATGCATTGGGCCATCTCCTCTAGGCATTGGATAACCACACCCATTGCAATTTTCCCCACAATTAATGAAACCCAAGAACTGCTTTCTTTGAACGGATTCCAAGTCTGGGAACATGATGTCATCTCAGAAAAAAATACAGGCTTTCATTTTTATTTTTCCAAAGGCCTCTGAGCCCCACGTGCATGTAAACACTCTTAAAAGGTGGACAACTAAAGGCCACTACTTTTGAGGCACTTCCAATACTCCCCCCCCAAAAAACCTAGTGTCCCCATTGCTGCTTGGGGGTGGGGAGAGAGTATTGTAGCAAGCCAAATGAGAAAGGGCAGGATATCATGGAAATAGTTCAACCTAGTAGGAATAAGAAACTGTGGACATTTCTACACTGCCACCAATTTTACTCTTCAAACTCTGAGAAGCAGGTTGAAGGCAATCCATGATGGTCTCCACTTCTAACAACTTTAAAATGCTGACAACAAGGAGTGAAAATCAGCGTCAAATCAGTTCAGCATTCCAACCATGAAAGTTTATCAACCCAGTGGCAAGAATTAGTTAAGAGGTACAATGATGTTACTATGCTTTTACAAGACTGAACAGAAAGAGCCTCCAGGAGAAAACATGGAAAAAGAAACTATCCCCTCACGGTTCTTTATGTAGAATAAGGAAATCTAATGCCATTTATCTTCAGACAGTGCATTAAATCAATCTATTCCCACATTAAACTGTTTAGCTAAAAGGTATTAAGAAGAAACTAGACTGACCTGTCCATGAATCATATTTTGAACTAAGTTGCATCCAAGAGCATGTGATAAGAAAGCATAATTAAACCAACACAACATTGAAAATATGTAGACATGAACTACATACATCATATCTATACTCAGTTTGGTCATAAAAGCAGCAATTTATAATTATGTGCTGGAAAACCTACTTAAGTGACCGAGATATTAGCCTGGTTCGTTTAATGCAACAGTCATCTCCAAAATACAGTAATGAGACTGACAGCATGCTCTAGACTCATATGATCTCTTTATCCCTTGCCTGTATGCGTTCCATTCTCCATACCCAAACTATAGTACAACATTATTTAAACTGGTTCTAGCCACGGTAGCTCTTATTAGAGCTCCCAGACAATTTTAAAACTTTGTTTCAACTTCTGAATTAAAAACCTAACCATTCCCACCACTGGAGTGTACGTTTTTCCACAGTCACTCTCAATTTGGGGATACAACACATGTATTTGCAGCAAGCTCCCCATGTTCAGCTCACCCTTGTCCCATCGGTTTCAGAGACTTCTATTTAATAATGTATGCACACCTTGCTGAACTCAGCTTGAGCATTCCTTGCTTCTTTAAAAGCTAGGAAGCTTAAAAATGCATTTGAAATGTCTCCTTTGAGTCCTTTTTTTTTCCTTTTAAAATAGTCTTAGTGGTACTTTATTCTGAAACATTAAAAAAACAAAGGACATTGATGCTGAACTTGAACTATATGTACATACTAGGATCTATAGTGAATAGGCTTTAAAAATTATAGAACTAGTTTTAAAAAAAAGGGGCTGAATGGTTAAGAATTCCTGGTTCAAAGTTAGAAGACAGGACTTGATGAGAGGCCACCAGGGAACAGCAAAGAGTCAGCTAGACTGAATTTTAAAAAAAAAAAATCTCAGCTGCTGCAAGAAAACCACATGGTTGAACTCAACTAGCAGCATTTTAAGTAGTCTTAAATTATGGACAAGCATCTATTTTTACTCTGAAGGCTATGTAAGGTGCCAGATCCAGCCACAGATAGGTGCCCTTCCATTCATCTGCATGTACATGTCTCCTTCATATAACCTAGCATACTCACACATCTCTCTTCTTTGTCCTGCTCCCTTCCACTAAGCTGTTGAAGATCAATTCCTCAGTACCATCGGCCACGGGAATCAACCTTTCAATTTCCTCCAACCGTCTGTTCAGAGTGACTATTTAGCTGGTGGGGACCACACAGCATGGTTTCCCATCATAAATGGAAGCAGAAATGCAATGATCCATTTCATGCTGATGACTGCCCAATGGAAAAAGTGGGCAGGGCACTTGTAGGCAGGACCTTTCCCAGCTCAGGGATGCATGTCATCCGGAAGATGCAACATAGGCACCCTTACCTTAAAGCAAGTTGTTTTCTCCTCCAACCTCAATCTGTGATATGATGTAATATGGGATACTGGGCAACAGTTTGTGTCTGTAATCAGATCTATAATTACAAACAGCTACTTAAGCCAAGAAGAAGAAATCCAGGTCAGGAGCCCAATGCTGGAAGGAGTGGTGGGTTGATATTCTTGTCTTGTGTCGTTTATTGAATGAAATTTGCCCCACGTCCTGCCATTACATGTCATGTGATAATAAATGTACACATGCACATACTATTATTTTAAATTGCATCCCACCTTGCCCGACCATGGGCAGTGCTGACATCACCTTGAAGACTGATACTAGTCTATGTGCACCTTCTCCCTCCAGCAAGATCAATTAGCACCTTTCGCAAGAAAGAGCAAGAATTTAGGAAGGCAACTGACTTTCAACATCCAAGGTAATCTCCTTTGGAAGATAATGACAATCTCTTCTATTTAAAAAGAGCTTTCAAAAATATAAATGGATCTGGGCATGTTTTGCTTGGCACAGATTTCTCTGTGGAACCCTGTTCCCAATAATGATCCCTAGGCAGAAAGGAAACAGAAAAATATCACCCCATGGCTTCTGAATTCAATAAGTATTCTCAGTGCAATTATGCATGCAATGGAAATATGTGTAGCTATCTCACTGGCATGAACCTACTGCAGAACTTAAAGAGGTCAACTGTAAAGAAAAGGCCTTTTCAAGAGGGAAAGGTTCATTCCTCCCCAAGTTCACATCTCTGCTTCCTTTCCATCCTTGCAGCATTACATTATACAACCCAAAAGATTAGTTACTTACAATCTTCTCCTTTTTGTCCTCCAACCAAGATAGCAACACATCCAGAAGATAGAGATCTACAATCCCATTTGCTTTCTACAAATAAAGAAATAAATGACAAACAGATTAGCCAGGCACTAAGATAAATGAATAGGGCACCTGTGTGTTCCTTTAGCATAACTCATGTTCAAGGTGAAGCTGAAGACTCACAAGCTTTTCATAGTGGTGGGTCCCTACTTCAAGCTTGCACCAAGAACAGTTTTTTAAAGAAACAGGGTTCAGGACTCCTAAGCAAACAAGTGGGAAAAACACCCAAAGGAGTTATACTTTTTCCCCCTTTCATTTAGACACCATCCCTAAAAAGAATGTTCCAGATATGGGTGCTTTGGATACAGCACAACACACATCTCTCTGTAAGCAAGATGGGAATGTAGATCAGCCTCAGTTCATGGTAGACTGTGCTTGGACATACAGCAAGTTAAGAGCACATTACATTATTGCCCATTTGCAATACAGTTTTGAGGCCACAAATCTTGGTGTGAAGTGATAATTTGGAAAAGGGCCAGAAGAAGGATACACACTCCCAACCTGAATGTCAGAATCCAAAGCCAATTGTGATCAGTGTTGTATGGGATATGTTCATTAGGAAGGAACTCAACGTTCACAATTCATATTGTTTCTCAGAAAGTTTCAAACCGAGCAAACCTGGGTGCTCTAGTCTTTTTCTGTCTTTTTCTAGTACAGTAAACAGATTCCAAAACTTTGAAAAATCGATTCCCCAAGCCAACACAATTTTAAAAGATTATTTGTGTAATCATGCAATGACAAGATAACTCTATGGTGCAATGACAGTGACAACAACAGCAATAACATTCTGATTTTATAAATTTCAAATTCTAAAACTAGCATTTATTTATTCAAGACCAAATATAGGATACTCTGCATGGAAAGCATATATCCACATATTTAACTACGGCCCCTGTTCACACTTTCCTACGAACACAATTCCCATGCACTGAGCTTCTTTTTAATACTCACATACATATATATTATCTATACCTGCATATCAATATACCACTTTTCATACCATGGACCTTAGATGGGTTTTCCATGGCCTCCCAATTCAGGAACAAACTAGATGGCAATTTACTTGCTTCCAGAAATGCTACCCCATCATGTATCTTCTTTATGAACACTGTTGTTTGATGACAACCTCTTCCCTTCAACCATTTGTGTGGTTCCACTACCAACATGGCAAAGATTACTCACCTTCTCTGTCTACATATGCATACCTATTTACTTATATACAAACCATATACATACATACATTGGAGTCTACAGGGTTTGGAAGGATGGGACAGAAAACAGCCTCTGCTAATGAATTAGTTAGCACGCAGGTTTTAGCACATCTCCTCCTCTTGTTCTGGAGTTTCCAAATCTCATTTCCCTTCCTCTCTTCCAGCACGTGTGTTAATTCCAAAATGCAATCTCAAATTATGTGATTTACCCTCAATTCTTTGTTTTAGCAGATTATGAACATGCACCTGGTTTACAATGCATACATCAAGTCAGAATTGCCATCTGATTGGCATCCATTCTCCAAGATCTCTGTTGGAATGTGGTTTCTCCCGTCACCTTTTACATAATTTTGTATAATGGACACTTTCTAAAACAGGCAAGCTCAACGAAACGTGGTATCAAGAGGTGCTTCTCTACCCCATGGACATCATCTCAGCAACCCCGTGGCTACAAATCCTAAAAATGTTTAAACCTATAAAGCAGTAACCAGAGACAGCAAGCAAGCAGGCAACGTGTAATAAAGCAGAACAAGATGACTCAAATTCAGGTAACCTAGGAAGAAGTATCGTTCCATTTCTGTAACTGCTGAATGCTCTCTACTTACCACTCCTTGCAACCTATGCAATATAGCAACAAAGAGTTGCTATAGGGCTCCCAGTTTCTCCTTCCAGTGGGACCACTGAGATGCTTTGGATGATAGCATTAGATTCTCTGTACCTCAGGTTCTCCATCTGTAAAGCATAAACAATACAATGCACTTCAGAGGGAGGCTGAAAATAACCTCTATGTTCATTCAAAGTAGGCTGTATTTTCACAGATTCAGATGGCTATTGTAATTAATTTGTATTTTCGTAATTCTTCTAATGGAGTAGTTAGTGTTGCTCACCAACATGTCTACATGTCTCCTTTCATGCATATACCAGGCTCCTGCCATATCACATTTAATTTTATTTATTTTTAATTAAACGGAATGTGGAATCTGCAGTGCTGTAAAGCAAAGCACCAGACACTTTATTTCTAAGAATGCCTCTAGGCACCATATAAATCTCACAGGCATCCTTAGAAGATAAAAATGGTAGGTGGCCAGCTGCAACTCAAAGCTTCATTTGGAAGCATGCCCACTTACTTACAAAAAGGATAAAGATAAGCTAGTGTAGTAAAAAGCATTTTGGGAGACTAAATGGAGCAGTTGAGAACCAACCTCATCAAACTGCCCAAGATCTTGAACTGGAGTAGGAAGTGATATTCTATATGGCCAACACAGCAGCCACAGACTAGCCCCATTGGCGTAGTTATGTTGTATGAATGTCCCAAATATGCTCTTAAGTGTCCAAAGGCATCCATCTGCTTAAGATGATCACCTACCTTAGCTTCGCTATCGCAGACAAAGCTAAGAAGAACTGCAACTTTTATTAATATAGCAATAACCAGAAGATGGTGGGGGAACACATTAGCTAAGCAGCTAATATGCCAATCCAGGCTGCCATTGTTTTTAACTGTGTAACACACAGAATTCAAGCAAGATAATCAATCAATCATCACCACACCAAAAGGATTGGGGATTTAAAACAATTCACTGAAACCATGATACTGTAGTTGGATTTATTTCCTGTCAAAATCACAACTTAATTGATATAGCTGGCCAGTGGCAAAGTAATGAAGTTAACTTGAAAATTACACAAATAAGAGTAAGTATCAAAGAGTGCAAAGGACTGACTGTTATGATCACTCAAACTTTCTGTATCAGACTTATGCATAAGACATACATTGTGGTTTTTAATGGATATACCATTTGTTTTGATTTGCATCCATTAAGAATGATTCTTGCAGGTGTGAGTTTGTATTCTATTGCATTGTGTGTTATTGCCTGAGAGACTGTGTACTTGTGACCCTTGTATCATGCTTCTCCTTGTATTGTACGTTATCTTTCTCTTTGTAACTTTGGTTTTATAATTTTTTAATTATGTATTGCCGATTTTAGTTTGTTGTAAGCTGCCCAGAGTCCCCCGTTGTGGGGAGATGGGTGGGGAAAAGTCAAATAAATAATAACAACAACAACAACAACAACAACAACGTGGTATATGAAAAGGGCCAGCACTGGCTATCCCAGAATTTCTAGCACATGGGATGATCTCATAAAGATGCCAAAGCATATTTAATAGCCTGCCCCCAACACTGAAGGTCAATTAGAGATCAAATGAGATTTATTAAATGACATTTAGAGAGATTTGACCAAAATCTCAATATTTTCCAAGACATGTTTTATGCTGGGTCATTACAATTTATGGAGCCATTTAGATCTATTCTGATGTGCTCTTTGGAAATAGTGATGCCGTAGAACACAGAGGGGCAGAAGGAAATCGCGGTCTACTCATAGGACTTTGGGTGATTTGGAGCAGATAAGAGCTCCTGTCTCCCAACTGTCAGACAACTGAAAACTATTATATATGAGTATGTTGTCATGCGCCGCATGGCTTGTTTTGGTTCTCATACACAGCTATGGGATATTTTGACAGGCAGTATTTAAAAAAAAATGACTGAATGAAGATGAGAAACACTAGCAAAACTAAATTACGTTTTCCTTGCTTACATCAGACAGCTGAAATTTTTTTTAAAAAAATCACAAGTTCTAGGCCTTTAGATGCCTTGTTCATTTTCTTAACAAAGGCTGAGGTCCAGTTCAATGGTTGACTGAAAAAAATCTCAGGCTCACAGTGTGCTCAGAGTTGCTTGCTCTTCACAAATATATGCATTTTGCATCTGACAGAGCCTCCAAGTCCACCAAGCAAACAACATATTGACCAATCTGAAGTGGCACATACCTGATCAAATGAATTCCCTACTATAGCTAAGGTGCAAGCCACAACTTCTGTGGGAAAAATTACAAAGCGATCCATCTCATGTGAGGTACCCAAGCCACATCTTCCAACCCTGTGCTTTGTGTCTATAAATATCGTCCCTTTCCTTTTGCTTTTTCTATGCAACATTTCTCTGGTAACTTTGCTTTGACCACTGTGCAGCTGTGGACAGCCCCATCTCTCTTATTGTCTCCTTCTCTAATGGGCTAGGATGCCCATTTAGATATCATCCATCATTTGCTAACAGAAAGAAAGTTAAGTAACAGAAAAAGAAATCTACCGTTCTCATACTGAAGTCAGCTCCTGATTTGTCGTTCTCCAGTAGAGGTCACTAACACATAGAACACTTACAAAACCAGTTACGTTTGTCTAAAACACCTCCTGGAATTAAGCCTTGCTAAGCTCTTCTTCATGCTGTCAACTTATCTAACTGATAAAAGGTTAACCTTCATAATTTAAGTCACCTGCTTTGCTGGTGGGTGGTATGGCACAGGAAACAGCAGTGTGGGAAGTAAAATGCCTCACAGTTTTGATCTTGCTGGTCCCTGCAGTCTAGTTCCCCTAAATTCTGCCCATAGCTGGAAATTATCTGCACTGTTGGTAGCGTGTTGGAGAAGGCAACCAAACGGTGCAAAAGTGTTCAGTGTGGAGGCTCTACAGCAGAGGAGACTCTGCCAAGAACGCAGCAAAAATGGGAAACCAGTTTCAGCACTGAAGTCACTAGGAGTTAAACCCCATACTAAGGAGGACACCATTCCATGGAATTTGGAAATGTATTCCATTAGGTATGCAGCTGATGAAAAACCACAAAATAGTTGAATACTAAGCCTGAACAACTGTTTAGGCAAGAATCCAAATTAGGTTGTTTCAAGCCAAATCATCTTTAAAAAACAAACATTTAGATACTCTTCCCAATGTTGGCAATGTGTTAATAAGCAGAAAAGGAAGGCCAAAGGAGATTAAAGTGTCGCATTTCCCCTAATGGATTATGCTAACCAAATATTCTTAAATCCATCTTTTACCCACTGATGTCATGACATAAGCCAGAAAATCTGATTTGCTTGCTTTCAACCAGATACCTTCATTTGGTGCCATGCT